AATCATTAAAGCTTCTGATGATAGCAGACCTCAAGATACAATTAAAGGACAAAGACAAATGTCAGCACCCCGGAGGTGCCACGTGGTTGTGTGGGATGGTAGATTTGGCAGCGTTGCTAGACAGTGAGGAAGAGCAAAGCATTTGAAATATCAGAGTCGCGGCCGAACTCAGACAAAGCCGCATATCAGGGCTGGAGACACACTGAAGTGGTATGTATGCTAAGGGAGCTGCCGGCGCTTGTGGTATCCTCAAAAAGTATTTGTGACTCAACAGATCCAAAATGAAGCTGCTTATCTTAGATAGCCAGATGGCCGTATGGCGTTCGTTAGAAGAGCGATGGTCTTTATTAGCACCAGCTACAATTTCAGAGCAGGAGGAATGCGTTCTTCATCTTCTGGAGGTCCTTCTTGCTTCCCAGGGAGGAGGCTTTGACTGAGCGGGGAGTAATACAGTGCGGAAGCAAACGTGTGCTAAAGGCAACATTTCTTTCCAAAAGCTGCCTGAGATCGGTGCGTATTCTTGTAGCATTGGTATAGGAAACCAGCTGATGCGTAGATGATTTTAGATGGCTTAAAGAGGTGTTTCTAACACAGTTCAGGAGAATTTTCATAACAGTCCATTAAAATGGCTCTACCTTTATTTTATGCATCGTGTTGCTGAAGCACTTCCCTATGACCCAGGCCTCCTAGTTTTAACGCACTGCACAGACATCTCTTAAGGAACAATATTTAACTGCAGAGACCTTACACTCCCACAGTAGGAGACAGACAATGTATGTATGAAAAGCAAGGCATGACATTTCTAGGCTTCCTCAGTCTTGGGGATCTTTGAAAAGTGACAAAGTAAACGAGCCAAGTAAAAGCAACTAAAGATTCTCCCTGCGTGGGACCGTCAACCTTTTAATAGCATTTGGAAAACAATAAAAATCATCCTTAAAGACTTAAAAATAGAAAAGAGCAGACAATCCTACTGTTTCAACTGCTGTGCATCTGATTATCAAAGACTGCCTTTTTATAACTGCATTTTTGAATGCGTTTTTGTATGTATTTGTGTGGTGGTTTTGTAAGTACCTGTAAAAAAAAAAACCAAAAACTGTTTGGAATAAAAGAGCAGACCTGAACCTGATTCTGTTCTTAGCTCAGGAGTGGTTCTAGACGTGGTCCTGACACCTCAGCAGAGACATTGTACAGTAAGGCAGAAATAACGTCCAGGCTGGGCCCAGGCCTGTGTTTCAGGAGAAGTATGGATTTCTTTATTCAAGAGAAGGTAGAAAATTCTGGTAGAACAGGCCAGCTCTCAAGCGCTCAGAGAAATCATGAAAATCTCAGAGTGGTTGTAAAAATTGTTCCTTTCACCATTCAAGCAGCTGCACTTGTTTTCACCGGTTGTAGTCCGGCTCTTTAGTGAAGAGCGTCTTTGGAGAACGTAATCCCTTGGAGTTGTTTGCTCAGTTCTCTTTGTTTTTATTGACAAGCTTAGGCAGTTGAAAGGAAAGGGTAGGAGGGAATTGATCTTAGCACACTTACGGGCATCTCCTCCTGTAATTCATGTCATTAAAACGTCTCTGACATATGACTTTCTTTATTTATTTATGGTTTTAGGCTTGTTTCTGCTCAAGCACAAATCTGGTGAGACAAGTTTTTTTTCCCAAGGCAGGTTGTTTGCAAACTTTGGAGCCCAAAAGGTGCAGCTGCTCTAAAAATAACATAGGATGCAAGAACTGGTTTGGGAAGGTCTCTCTCTGCCTGAGTCCAGAGGTATCTCCTGAAATGCTGCCATTAGGGGGAAAGTTTGCCTTGTAAACAGAGCTGGCCTAATTTCTAGAGGTGCTGAACACCGGCCTGCGGTGCTTGCTGGTAGGTCCTGAGCACGCGAAACCTGGAAACGGGTCAAATGTTAGTGGCTGGGATTTTATCGGGAACACGCCCGGGCAAATCTGCGATTACTGGGTTAAAACAAGAGAGCAAATAATTGCCCCTTGGCTAGTGACCTCTGCAAGCAGAGCTGGCTACCCAGACTGCAGGAGACCCGCCAGCTCCTGGGCTTCTGGCTGCCACCAACAAAACAAGTCTCCTGTCACCGTCAAGGTCTGTATGTAGCTGAATCACCTCTTTGGCCCTTCTTCACAGGGTGACGTCCCCAGTGACCTGGTGCTCAGTTTCCAGAGGAGGCCAACGGTCTTGCTGTCCCGGTGCAGAGATTCTCAGAAGGTTTTTCGCCGAAGACAGAGAGGAAAAATCCTGGCAGCAGAACGCCAAGTACAGCTGGGACTGGATGGCAGGCGAGAACCACCCCAATCCCCCCTCTCACCCCCACCGGGAGTGATGCAGGGGGAGGTGTGTCTTGCGTTGAGCGGAGACACAATGTTCTCTATTTCTGATGTGCTGGATCTTTAAAACGCACAATGTTGCATCTACCGCTGAATTAAGCAGTGTTTGCTTTTCAAACCTTCCCCATTTGTATTTTTAGCTCCATTTTGGCATTCACTCTCTTGGTTGGAATATATAACACACTCGGTTGTTTAGTGTGCCTGGATCGAATTCAGCCTATGTGTAACTCCACAGGCTTGAGCAGAAGCGACGTTCAAGGTGAATTACTCTCTATGGGGCTAAGGAAATACAGCTTCTGTAGAAATGCGTTTCAGCTCCCTCAGTAAATGCTACACTATTTCCATCCATGGTTATTCCTTTGTGGTTTGGGTTATATATTTACATTTTACGGAATAAATACTACAGCTTTCCCCATGACTAACACTTCTTAGTAACCAATAAGCTACTCAAATACACTATTGCCTCCTACAAGAGCCTAAACCACACTGCTCTCCACTGGCTTTCTGTCCCCAGCTGGCCACCTCCTTGCTCAGAGGCATGGTTAACCAGCATTACATAAGCAACTTTTTAGATCTCGGTTTAACGGGACGGCTTCCGCGAGCAGGCACTGGATGCCGTGGGACTGGATTCCGCAGTGACAAACATTTCAAACGCGGCCGCGCTCTGGGATTGACAATAATCCGAGTGAGGTCTTTAGACAAAGAGCGTAACGTATCGCTGCTGCTCCCACAAAGAGGGAGCGAGTTGCTTTTCCAAACCCAGAGGTCTGTTTTAAGAGCAGTGCTATACAGGCCCTTGCGTAAACTTTGTTTATAGACTGGAGTATTTTCAATGAAAATGTTATTTAACTTTAAAAAGTTGCACAGCAGCCACTCCGAAAATTGTTTTTCCTTGTTAAGAATAACACACAGTGTGATACATTTGAAATGGCGATAGCAATATTTCACAAATTTTGATGGATTCATAGTCCAAATACCTTGCTAACAGATGTTTCTTTTAAACTCAGAGTGGTATAGGAATAACTCAGAGATATTACAGTGTCAGCACTGCCTTTTATCTGTGCGTGTCCTTTCAGTGACATCCCTAGGCTTTTCTAATGCATGGGTCATGTCTGAGCTTAAAAAAAAAAAAAAAAAAAAAAAAAAGCTAAATATTAAAAGAAGTTATATCTGATTGCATGTGAGTTTTGGGGCTGTGAGGGAGCTGCCGTGGGCTCGCTGTCCGCCCGGGCACGGAGGGCTGGTGGTTTGTGGGAACGTGCTGGTTTACAGGCGTCATTTCTGAGCTGGCTTTTGGCTGTGGTTCACTGATGAAGTTAGGGGTTCCCATGGCCGCATCTTTCGGTCTCCTAAATTAACTAACTTTTCTCTCCGTGTATGGCAGTTTGCCCTACACAAAGGGACACCCCAGCAGGGCGAAGGGACGATATTTTAACGCCCTGGTGGAGTTCTTTTTGTTTACGGTGGAGTCATTCAGTCTACTCCGTCTCTCCAAAGCATGCAGCATCCATCGCTCTTCATTAAGGGGTCTTTCCCGGGAGCTGCCTTCCCCACACCTTCTTCACATCCCCCCCAGTGTGCCCAGCTGATGTGTGCTAGTGGCAGACCAGTCCAGCCCCAAACCCCACTTGAGAACCGCCTCAAGCCTTGGGAAGCCTGGCTTTTGGGCTCGACCCCAAAGCCGGCCCAGGGCAACGCTGGGGTTGAACTGCGGGGCCCGGGAGCATCCTTGGGGGGGGGTCGTACCCCTGCGGAGCAGCCAGCGGTGGCTGGGGAAGGCGCCTGCTTCCCATCCAAATGGGGGTCCGGGAGCCCGGCTCGGCGGGAAACGGCCGGAGAATTATTTTGGCAGCCAGGGTGGGAATGGGGAGGAGAAGGATGAGAAAATCCGGAGGGCGGGTGGGATCCCCGGGGCGGGGAGCCGGGATAATCCACGGGCCTGGCAGCGGGCTCCCAGCCCCCGGGAGCGTTTGGGGGTGGGGTGGGGGGGCTCCCCCGCAGCGTGGGGCCCGGTGCGGGCACGGGAGGAACCGGGGTCTCAGCCGCCGTCCCTTTCTCCGGGCAGCTTGCTTCTCGTTCCCAAGCGTCCCCTCCCTTCTCCTCAGGGAAGAGGCGCTCCCCCAGTTTTTCCCTTTTAAGTTTCCCTTCCCAAACCGGCCCCTCGCCGGGTCCACCCCGACCCCCGGTGCCCGCGCGGTGGCCGCCCCGCTCCGCCTGCCCCGGCGTCGTGCTGGGCGGGGGGCCGTGCGGTGACACGGGCGGACGGGGGACACCCACGCCCACGGATATCCCACCCCCCCCCCTTCCCCCCCCCCCCCCCCCCCACGGGGCCGTGGGTAGAGAGAAAGGCAGGAGGGGGGGGGCCCCGGCGGGGATGCACCTGAGCGAAGCCGGGGGAACCCCCCGCTCTTCCCCTGGGGGGGGGGGGGGGGGGGATCGCGCTTGCCTCGTCCCACGCAGCTCAACCCCAGCGCCGGCGGCGTCCCGAACCTCCCCCCCCCCCCCCCCCCCCCCAAACACACCCACTCCGGGGCTCGGCCCCCTCCGTTCGGCGGCCGGGGCGGGCCGGGGGCGGGCCGGGGGCGGCGGGCCGGGCCGGGCCGGGCCGGGCTGGCGGGGTGCGCGGCTCCACGTGACTGCGGGGCCGGGAGAAAACCGGGGCCGGCGGCGGCGGCGGCCGCACTGCGCCCGGGCGGCGATCGCGGGAGGCGCTCGGCAGCCGCTGCCCCGGGGCTTTCGGCGCGCTGGGTCCGGGCGGGCGCTCCAGAATCATGGACTGTGCTGATATGCCTTGCTTGCTGTCAGTGAGTACAGCCCTCTTCTTCCTCGGCTCCGCTCTTTTGGCTTGCGTTACGCATCTGTAGTTTAGTGTTTTTTTTTTTTTTGTTGTTGTTGTTTTTTTTTTTTTGTTTTTTTTTTTTAAATTAAAAAAAAGAAAAAAGTTTGTTCTCGTCGTCCGCCGGCGGGACGCGAACCCGTGGCCCCCGGGGTCCCCCCCGGAGCGGGCGCCCCTTCCCCGCCGCAGCTCCGGGCCGGCCCGGCGGGGCGAGCGGCGCCGGGATGCGGCGGGGACCCGCGGGGCTGCCGGGCGGCGAGCGGCTGCTCCGGCCGCTGCTCATGCCTTTTGGCCATTGATTATTATTTTTAAGTTTATTCGGAAGAGGAGGAGGAGGAGGAGGAGGAGGGGGGGGGGGGTGTGGGGTGGGTTTGCTTCTCATCCTGACTTTCCTTGTTGTTTGTTGTTGCGTTTTTTACACCCCAGAGACACCATGATTCCTGGTAACCGAATGCTGATGGTCATCCTACTATGCCAAGTCCTGCTAGGAGGTACTAACCATGCTAGCCTGATACCCGAGACCGGCAGGAAGAAAGTCGCAGAGCTTCAGGGACAAGCCGGATCCGGACGCCGCTCTGCCCAAAGCCATGAACTCTTGCGGGGTTTCGAAACAACTCTGCTGCAGATGTTTGGGCTGCGAAGGCGGCCTCAGCCCAGCAAGTCAGCCGTCATTCCTAGTTACATGCTGGATCTCTATCGACTCCAGTCTGGAGAAGAGGAGGAAAGCCTCCAGGAAATTAGCCTGCAGTACCCTGAGCGATCGACCAGCCGGGCAAACACCGTGAGGAGTTTCCACCATGAAGGTCAGTGATGGGAGGAGGTAAATTCCCAGCCCCAGTAGCCGTCGGGATTTCCTTGCGTTTGGAAGCTCACAAATGCATTTAGAAGCGGGATGTGCCTGGCCTTAAATTTAGGGGAGGAAAACCACCCCCCCACCCCTCCACCCGAAAAAAGCCTGCTGTGTGGGGGTGACAGGCGCGCTGCGCTGTATTTTTTTCCAGTATCCTGTGCTTAACCCGAGCTTGACCAGATTTTGAGGTGCTTTTGCTTCTGTTGACAACAGCGAGTTTCCTTTGGTGCCTCTGCCTCGGGGTCACTCCCTGGGCTCGCGTGGATTTAATGACTCTAGATCGGATGCGGGAGTAAAGTGAGGGCGGGATCTCGCCCCTGGTGTGTTTCTTTTGAACTATCAAAGCGATTGCTGCCTGGTTTTGCTCTTAAGAAAAAAAAAAAAAAAAAATCCAAAAAAACCCCGACTCGAATTTAATACTTACAGCTGTGTGTTTATAAGGTTTATTCAATAGGCCCTTGTAATCTGATCCAAATGTTTCCTAGCGGATGTTTCTTTTCCAAAGTAAATCTGAATTATTAATCCAGCCGCATCATTACTGTGGTGGAATTTGCTTCTCTTTCTCCCCCTGCCCCCTGCGCCCCGTAACAAGGCACCTCTGTGTTCCGTGGCGCCGCACCTCGCCGGGGAGATGATTTTGGAGAGATGAGGCGGCAGGGAAGCTGGGGGGGGGGGGGGGGGGGGGGAGTTGAAGGGAAAGGGAAAAAGCTTCCCCGAAAGAGGGGAGGTGAAAGAAGGGGTGACCCGGTGCGGTGAGCAGGAGCCGCTCCGGGTCCGGCCGGGAGGGATGCGCGGGGCAGCGGAGAGGTGCCGCTGGCTGCCGGGCAGGTGAAACGCGGGTGCATGCGGTGGCTGAGCGCCCCGAGGCTGACGTGCTCTTGTTTTGCTTTTCCTACCGCTTCCCCCTCCCCGCCCCGCTCCCCTCCAGAGCACCTGGAGACCGTCCCGGGTCCCAGCGAGGCGCCCCGGATCCGCTTCGTCTTCAACCTCAGCAGCGTGCCGGAAAACGAGGTGATCTCCTCGGCGGAGCTGCGGCTGTACCGGGAGCAGGTGGAGGAGCCGAGCGCGGCGTGGGAGAGGGGCTTCCACCGGATAAACATTTACGAAGTGATGAAGCCGCTGTCGGAGCGCGCTCAGGCCATTACGCGCCTGTTGGACACGCGTCTGGTGCACCACAACGTGACGCGCTGGGAGACCTTTGATGTGAGCCCGGCTGTGATCCGGTGGACCAAGGACAAGCAACCGAACCACGGGCTGGTGATCGAGGTGACCCACCTCCACCACGCACAGACTCATCAGGGCAAACACGTCAGGATTAGCCGATCTTTACCTCAAGGGCGCGGGGACTGGGCTCAGCTCAGGCCGCTCCTGGTCACTTTTGGGCACGACGGGCGAGGCCACGCGCTGACCCGTAGAGCCCGCCGGAGCCCCAAGCACCAGCGTTCCCGCAAGAACAAAAAAAAACTGCCGCCGCCATGCCCTCTATGTGGATTTCAGCGACGTGGGCTGGAACGACTGGATCGTGGCACCCCCGGGGTACCAGGCGTTTTACTGCCACGGGGACTGCCCCTTCCCTCTGGCCGACCACCTCAACTCCACGAACCACGCCATCGTGCAGACGCTGGTGAACTCCGTGAACTCCAGCATCCCCAAGGCCTGCTGCGTGCCCACGGAGCTGAGCGCCATCTCCATGCTCTACCTGGATGAGTATGACAAGGTGGTCCTGAAAAACTACCAGGAGATGGTGGTGGAGGGGTGCGGGTGCCGCTGACCCCCTTCCCCGCCACCCTCTCCTCCCCTTCTCTCTCCCTCCCGTCCCACCCCAGAACTGCTTGCTATAGCTGGACTCTTCTCTAAACTAAACGTTCACCTTGACCTTATTTATGACTTTATGTGCAAATGTTTTTGACAATAATGATCATATATTTTGACAAAATATATTTATAACTACATATTAAAAGAAAAAAATAAAATGAGTCATTATTTTAAAGGTAAACGCATTTTGTGTCTCGCCTCTCAGGGTGCTGCTGAGGCTGTGCTGGCTGGGAGTGCAGCAGGGAATGTATTTTCTCTCCTTCTCACCTCTTCCCCCCCCCCCCCCCCTCCTCCTTTTCCCTCCTTACCCCTCTTTTGCCCTTAAAAGCTTTGCAAATTTTAGTCTTTCTATTTCTCGCCGAGGTACCACGGATCCCCCTGTTCTGGGGCTGCACCACGTGGGAGATGAGGGTCCCTGGAGATTAAGCGCTGCTTCTCCCGGCCGCTGGGAATAGAGCCGACCTTGCTAACCTGGCCCAAGCCTTTGCAAAGCAACCCACCAAAAATGCATTTGAAAAGAAGGTGAAGATTTACCTGAGGGCTTTATGCTAAACCCACTGGGTTTTATACCCTTCTTCCATCTTCAGGATTCCCCAGGTTTTAAAACTATTAACATTTCCTCCACCCCCCCTGCTTCTCCTCCCCTCCCCACTGGAGATTGGCTTTGGGAAGCTTCAAAGGTTTGCACGGGTCCTTTGAAGATCAAATCGCCCCATTACAATGCCAAAAAAAAAAAAAAAAAAAAAAGATATCTGGAGCAGTTAAATATGTGTTAGCTAATAGCTACCTGTGCTGTGTCCTTTCCAAATTGCTTCCGAGCAGGAAGGTGATCAGAGCCGAGCAGGTACAGTTGGAGGTATCTAGGGCCTGAAACCTCTGGCTCAAACGCATCGGACGGGCTGTGCTTGGCTTGGAAAACAGGGAGCTGTGCCGTGGGGTGCGTGTGTGGGGCTCGTGTCCTCGGTGATCGTGGGAGGGGAGCAGGGGAAGGGTGCATGATGCATTTATTTATTTATTTATTTATCCTCTAATGATTGAAGCTTTCCAACCTTCCGAAAGGGGCAGCTTAGTTGAAACCAATAAAAACTGGAGCGGAAAGCTTGCCAAAAGCCTTGGCTCCCTGAAGAGTGCAGGTGGAGAGAGGAGAGATGGGAGCCGCGGGGGGAGGCGAGCATGGCCCTGGGTTTCTCTCAGAAACAACAACAAAAAAAAAAACAAAACAAAACAAAAAAAAAACAACAAAAAAAAACCCCCCGAGCCCTCAACCTCCTCTGTGCCAGTGAGGCTTTTCCACTCCTCCATCCGCCTGGGTGCAGACCACAGGGTCTCCTCGGCTGCCGGAGAGTTTTGGGGTGGCTCTGTGCCTCCCCAGCTGGGTGCTGCAGGGTCCCCACGGCCTCCCGGCACCCCATGAGGCAGCGATGGGTGTTTGCTACGGGGACCCAGCGTCCCCGGCACGGCAGGGCTCTGTGTGGGCACTCCTGGGGATGCACCTATAGGTGCTGGTCCGTAGGGCTGTGGCAAATGAGGGGGGAGATCACCCCACTGCCGGGGAGCCCAGATGCGTATTTTGGGGTTGGGGTTGTTGCTGCTGTGTCTCCCGGCCCCCCTCGGCCCCGAGATGACACTCTCATTCCTGCCTTTAGAAGGGAAATGTGTGGCCCGGGGCATCGGCGACCTGCTGCCTCCCCTTTGATGCCTGCATATCAGACATAGCCATGCCAAAGAAAGAATTTCATTTTGAAGTGGCATCAGCTAAAGGCGAGCGCCTTTCAGCTGCCTGACAGGGCAATTACACACATCGCCCTGGATCTGCCCCACTGCCGATAACCCCGGGGAAAGGGGCTCCCCGGGCCCCGCGGTGGCTCTTGGGGCCCTGAGGCACTGCGGGAGGGTGGTCTGGGGGGGAAAAAAAAAAAAAAAAAAAGAAAAAAAGAAAAAAAATCATAAAAAAAAATCATCGTGCTTTTTTTTTTTTTCTTTTTTAAAGAAAAAAAAAAAATTCAACTTCTCCCAGGTTTCCTTCCCTGCTCATCGACGCGTCCCGGGTTGTCCCCAAGGCTGTGAGGGTGTCACACAGCTGAGCAGCATGTGCGCAAACGCCTCTTGGATTTAGGTCATTCTCGTTGTAGAAGTCTCCAGCCGCTTTGCTGCGTCCCTGCTGCTTTATGGATCTGTTTGTTTCGGTGCTTATTTTTGCGTTGCGTTTAAATGATGAAATCGAAGCTTCAGCCCCGGGGAGGCGGAGGCACTTGCTTTTCTGTAGGTGCTGTGAGGGGAGAGGTTGTCCTGACGTGTAGGTGGCCTTTGGGAGATTTTTTTTCCTTTGCTTTGGTTTTCCAGCCCTGGCGCCGGGCTGTGGGTTAGTGAGATGCTATGTGGGGTGTTCTGCTAAGAAACTATAGGAAAAAAAACCCAAAGTGACATTTAAAAAAAAAAAAATCAAAGTATTTCAATTTTGTAAATTTTGTAAGCATCTAAACTGTGGATATAAACCAGTTGATAGTAAAAGTGATGGATGTTACAAAATATTTCTGGGTGCATTAAGCAATTTACTCAGTGGAGCACGTCTAAACTTTTGCATTTAACTCAGAGTACAGGGGCTGAGGGTTTCCCTCCCCGTCCGTGTACATCCCTCTGTCCCACGCGGGTGGCAGACTGCTGCATGGCCTCGTGAGAGGCATTTAGCAAGATTCTCAATCTGATAAATTATTTAAAAATAGGAAAAGACAAGAAAATTGTCAGGGAAACCAGAATCGGGCCCTTTTCTAGTTGCCAGCTGACAACCAGTGGTGTTTTTTTTTTTTTTTTCCCCACCACTTCAGTTTGCGCTTGGGTTTTGGTGATAGTCAGAGCTCTCTCCACCTTGGCGAGGGGGAGAGGAGTCTCTTTGGGGAAGCTGCGAATGAAGCGCTGGCGCAGGGAGCCGTGGGAATTCCACGCGGTGTTTCTGGGCGCTGCTTTGTGCATCTGATGCAGCAGTCGTGTGGTTTAATGCTGCGCTCTGGAATCGGTGTGATGACTGGTCCGGTCTGTTTGCTGAGGGCTGCTTGCCGCAGGCACGATGGTTCAGCTTCTTGCTGGCTTATCTGTATCAGAGACTACCTTGCTGACGCAGCAGAGAAGAGCTGGAGTGTTGGTTTATTCTCAGACAGCCGGTGTTTATCTTTGCTTAAAAGTACGACAAATACACCTGCTCTATAAGTGCAATAATTCCTCTGACGGTGGAACAAAAGTTACTTATTTCAGAGCGAGCGCTTTGTTTGTGGCAGCTGGCACAGCGGTCCCTGGAAGGTCCGAGAGAAGGAATCTCAATTTAATGCCCCTCTCATTCCATCCAAGCTGCGAATGAAAAGGGAACAGGTTGAAGGTGAGTGTGCAGCCACTTCGCTGCCGTCGGGGTGTCCTCCTGGCAGCCCCGGCCCACGGTCCAGCATCCCAAGACGCGTGAGCTGGGTGGTGGATGTTCTGCTGCTCACCGTGATGCGACTTCAGCTTTGTGCCTACCGCGGGAAGGCTGTGACTTTCCATACCTAAAAAGTACTGTCACGCTGAAGTCTGTGTGGCGTATGGCTATGGGAAACGAGGAGAATATCTCAGCGGGGTTTCGTAACCTCCCGTGCCTCCGACTGAACTGTTCACAGGGGCTGTTGGTGAGGGCCACTGGGTGTGATGCGGTAACGTTGTTGCTGGAGCTTCCATGGGGTAAGGTGTGCTGGAAAACGGGGTCCCAGGCTCTGCCGTGTGTCAGGAGCTCCCCCCGGAGACCTGTGGTTACCTTGATCCCATCCCCAACCCCTCCTCTCTTGGCTTGTAGGATCCCAAGAGTCTTCTGGCAGGACTTTCTTCTTCCAGGCGAAAATTTGCCCCCAGGTCAAAGCTTACAGCATCATTTTGAGAAAAGCTGCTGTTCTGGAGATGCTGTAATTGAGGAGTGCTGCTCAGACAGCCAGGCTTTGCTTGTAGCCACAGGGTCCGAGGCTTTGCAAATTAGTTTCTAAAAATGCAAATTGGTTTGGAAGAGAAGCACCGAGGTTTGCGCACTGCTATTCTGGGATGAACACAGAGGCTTTGCTATGGAGCCAGCAAATGAGGACGGAGGCCCTTCTCGTTTTGACTGCAGTGCTTGGACACCTCTGGCAAGCTTCTCGCCTATTACAACGACTAGCACAATTTAACTATGATGGCTTGAAAAACTGTTGAATCTTGGTATTGAGAGATGCTTTGTTTTCTTTATTCTGGGGTTTCATTGCCCAATAGCAGGTCTGAAGTTCCTCCACTGTGCATAGTCTCTATGTGAAACTACGGAACCTAAACAGGTATGAGGAGATACTACTGCCCTCTTATTGATAAGGATCTCGGGCACAGAGGGATGAAGAGACTTGGGCACAGCCATGTATGGAGAGCAGGCAGAGCCAGAAGAGGTATCTGACCACCTCGATCCCTGCCCTGTGATTTAGACACAAAACTTAGCGTGCTCTGATCTTGAGTCTGTCCCGAAGATGCATCCCTTAATCTCAAACCAGTGGTGAATTCCTGCATAATATAATGAAAGAGGAGGCTACAGCATCCATGTCATTCTCTAGGCAGGCATGATAATGACAGGAAGCATCAAAAAGGACCCAGATACTAGGTGTCCTTCCCTTTGTGGATCCTGCATTCTAGTCTAGAAGGGTAAAAATAGGAGGTTTAATACATAATTTTCACCTGGCTGCTTAAAGAAGCACCTCAGACTTGCTCCTTATTTGACAGCAGCGCATCCACCTGGACACAGGCAGTGAAGGGAGAAATCCATCAGCCAGTGCTTGCATCTTAGCAGAGCCCAAGGAGGGATGAGGCCACGGGAAACTCTGGCTCTGAGTCATTTATTCCACCCAGCAGAGGAACACATGTGCTGGGACTTTGGTCCTGCACGAGCCATCCGAAATTTGCCCTGAGTTGGAGCCCCGTGCTGTTTTCCCTCTTGTCAGCATTCTTCATGCACTGCCCCCCTGCCCATGCCTTGATGCCGTGTTTCACGTGATATCGGCTCCGCGGAGGGCCCGGCCCCGTCAGCCCCGTGAGTCCTCCCAGGACTTGGGCTCGGCTTTGTGGAGAGCTGCTCTGAGCCTGTTCGCTGAGCAGTGACAGCAGAGCCAAGGGCAGAGCCCCCCGTGTCCGTGTCCACCAGAAGCATCGTCCCCCGCCCCAGAGGTGTGCTTGGAGGGCACGCCAGCGCCGCATGGACCTTGTGAACAGCCAAAAGCCATCACCAGTAGGATTTCACCCTAGA